AATTTCGATCTATGTTCTGACGTTTTAAACCATTAACTCTGAAGAGTGTCTTTACGAAAAGCTTTACTCGAATGTTTGCTTTTTTCAAAGCCATTTCAAGTTTCTTATTTTATTTGTAGTAAGTTGAAAAATTACATTATACTGCAAGTTCTTCGACACGTCCAGAACACTTAGCCTGAAAAATTATCAATAAGAAGGAATTGCCGAAAGTGGACCTATTGAAAGGTTTGCAAATGTGACTGGCTGGAACTGGCGTTGTTCTGAAATCAGTTACGCTTACTTGTCATGATTCAAAGTAGTGAAAGTATTGATATTGATAAAAAACCGATAGTTATATAATAAAATGTAAAAGATATTACCGCTGGTTCTTAAATGGGGACAGGCCCGTCGGAGCCGGGGGGCTGGGGGTGGCTGGAGCCCGCCCAATTATTGTCAAACTGTAGTATATTTCCTTTATAACAGTGTACTAGATGAAAAGGAATACAATGGGCAGCTCCCTAAATATGAATTCCGTTCCGACGCCACTGATGGATTAAATTTCGCAAGTTTTGAGGTTACAAACACGACGCGCGCGAATAATTTGAAAATGCAATCAAGAGAAGTATCAGTGGAAGCAAGGACATTTTTTAGTTAACCGCAATGATCATTTTCTGATAATCTGCATTTCAATTTTCATAACGTATACCCCTGTTGCACCGGAAACGTTTTGGTCCAGGCGGCCAGTTTCCTCTTCAAATGATGTGTTCTCATTACCCTTGCACTGGCCTACATAGATCTTGCTAAATATTTGTACAGGTAATCGCTGATCCATTTGTGCTGCTAATAACTAAAATCTAAATTTTCTTTTTCACTTCATTCTTTATCTTTCATCATACATCTATATTACCGTTTCCACATTCTTTATTCTGCTATCGCTAATGCCTTCTCCGTATTCCATAAACAGCTCGCATTAACTGCGAGAATACGTAATAGAGACAAATTTTTAGGACTAGGCCAGGGACATTTTACGATAGGGCTGTGTCCCCAGCCTCCAGGTATAACGGTCTACAACCATCAACAACGTGAAAAATAGTTTCTGGCAGTAGGAAGTGGGAGAAATCAAAAGTCTATCTTTAGCTGCATTTTTCTTAGTAGATGAAGTATAACGGGTGATATAGTACCTTAAAATATAGTTTAAATGTTGCTGAAAATATGACGTAATGTCTTAAAAACAGGGGCGGATTTAAACAACAATGATTGGAGGGGGGGGGGTGTTAGACATTAATTTTGGTGCCACACCCTTCAGGTCACTGATAAATGATGGAAACGTCCATTTTTATAATTTTGTTGTTTAACTGTGGCGTAGCCAGGCTTGGAAGATTGGTAGGCCAAAGAGAAAAATACTTTTGCTGATCAAACCCCTAAGAATTTGGGAAAACACCCATTTTGTAGATGTGCTTGAAAAAGCCATGGAATTTATACTTAGCAATTTCCCTTTATTCAACGTCATAGGTGGCGTTGCCATATTCTACAACTGTCTACTTCATTCACAATTCCACTAACGTTTATATCCTGAATTGTGTAAGGCGAGGAATCTCTATGTGTAAAAAGTGATTTTCCAAAGTTGTAATAAAATATCTAAAAATATTATCATTATTCAATAGTTTTCAACCAAGTCCGTTTTCCTTGGAGCAAAGTCCACAACAAGCATTTCAGAATCCAGTTTTTATTAAGGATTGGACTGCTTTAGTATTTTAGTTTCTATTTTATCAGGAGTGTCTCATGAACGTGAAAGACTTTTCTATACAAACCCAAAAAGAGGGGAAAATTAGTGCACATTAAGGTTCTCCTGCGAGCGAAGCTAGCAGAAAATTTTTGCGACGATGCCCTCGAGATTAGCTTAAAATACATTTGAGAATATCCCCCCCCCCCCCGCTACGCTTCTGATAAGAAGATAAATACTGATAAAAAATAAATGATGTAAAATCTTGGCGTCACTTTGTTACTACTGACTACCAATAGATGATTTTTACCGAATGAAACAAAACTTACCGAAGGACACAGAGCTATTGGTGGGAGTTGCACCCCCTACAACCCCCCCCCCTAAATCCGTCCCTGCTTGAATATGATTTGTTGAGAGTACGAGATCCGTGATAAAACCTGCCGTGATAAAAGCTTTCACAAACAGAAAGCGGCCCGGCTCTGCGTGTGCATGTATTGTATACGGTTTTAAATCCATACCGTGATGTGGATGTCCCCCTTAACTATGTTGAATTCAGTTCTGTCTAGGAATACTTTATTTGTTTACTTCAATAAGGCAAACGAAATTGGTCACACTTACAAACATCAAAATGCATAAAATCGAGGTCTACCAAAGAATGCGACATTATCTTATATATACATGTACGCATATACAAAGATATGCACATATGCAAAAGTTAATGAAGAGTTCCCTCTCTTTTCAGAACATTACTGTTTATTGTGTTTCTAGGCTGACAGTGTTGTTTTACTTGCCATTACTTGCACAGTCGACGATACTCCGTCTCCCTTGTCAAACCTTTGCCGAATTCACAGTGTTCCACATGGGCAAAGCTCTTAAAGGCCACGTAATCAAAACGGAACGCGATGTGGACGACATTGGATGCACGAGGAAGTGCGTGGAGCACCACAAATGTCGATCATACAACTTAAACGTTCAGACCAAAGAGTGCCAGCTCAACGAAAGGCGACATGGAGAAAACGGTACGCAGTTGGTTGATGCTCCTGGTTGGTTGTACAAATCGACTGATTACAGCAAAAAGTTGGTGAGCTCACTGTTTGTTGCTATCTCTATGAATTTATGTTTGATGAAAACAGTCTCTTGTTGTCTAGCTAACCCTTTCCTTTCTTGATTTTATTCAGAGGCCACTCGAAGCTCTTAAACGGTGGCTTTTCATTAAACAGAATTTAATGATAAAAGCTCTCTAGTGATAAAAATTTGTTAAGAAGGTCCCTGAAAACGTTTGAAATTGAACGCCAGCTTCTATATTTTATCCAATACCAAACCCGTCATTGATAATTTTACTTTTCACAAATATGTTTTTTTGCTTAGCATAATTGCTATTTTCAATCGATTTTAGCAACCTTTATTTGAAGATGCAGAAATAATATTTTATTGTGCTGTTTAGTAACCAGATTCACTGCTTGTTTTGAATAGATTGGTGCGACATGCCGAGCTCTTAACCCATGTCCTTCTCACATCCTATGCAGAGATACATGCACAAGCCCGTTTTATGAATGCGTTCATTGCGATGAAAACCATCATGAGTTGCACTGTGACATTCCACTTGGTATGTTTTTTTCATTTGAGCAATCTTTCCTACATTTTCTTTATTGCTTTTTTTTTGTTTTGTATGATAGAAATCATACTTAGTTTAAAAGCATTTTTATCATTTATATTCTCCAAATGCATCTTTCTGACATAATTGCAATGAAATCATTATCTTGAAGATAAAAACGACTGCGAGAAGAACCCTTGTCAGAATGGCAAGTGTGTGGATGAACATGCCAGTTATTTTTGCCTTTGTGATCCAGGCTTTACGGGAAGGAATTGTGAATCAGGTAAATGGTGGAATTGACTTCTACTTGGTTTTGTTTGTTTAACACTAGTATTGGCACAGAAAATCAAGATCTGAGAAAGAAATGGTTTCTTGTGTTCTTGAGGTAACCTTATTTATCACACGACAAAGCAAAAATCACGGTAATTGTGTCAATTTTCCTCAAACAGGCATCAAGTCTTTGTTTTGATTGACTCTTTGATGCAGGGCCACTGTGCCTTTTCCCAGTTACTAAGCACCAAATTAGTATTAGTGCTGTCAGCTTGGTTATGCTTTGGTCGAGAATCTGACTTTGACTTCATTTTACATTAATCATTGAATAAATTGAAGATTAATTAGCCGACATGTGACATTAATTTCATGGCGGCTCTACGGCTCTACGTATTATTTCACGATGTCTCTAAAGCAATTTCTATCTACGATAGTCACAGACATAAATGAGTGCGAGAGCCTTCCTTGTTTTAATGGAGGAACATGCAGAAACGACGTGAACAGATTTCAATGTAACTGTCTTGCTGGATATTCAGGAACTCATTGCGAAGAAGGTAAGCAAACGAATAATTCGTAGCTTTTCCCTTGCTTCAGAGTCAGGCACGACGTGATTGTCGTCAGTGATAATGTTTTGAAAGTTGATGTTAACTTTGGAATATGATGTAAACCCAACGAGACACATAGTAGTCTTTAAATTTAGGTTGTTAGTTAGCTAAATATTTTTGCTATTCATTTTTGTAAAATCACCTTGCTAATGATGGAGTGAAGCAGAGTTTAAAACAGATCTGAGTATTAAATTAAGTTTCTACTTTTAGTTTTATTTTACTCTTGTCTACGTTTACTTACTATGATAAATTTAAGAGAAATGATTTTTCTCTTCTAAGAAGTGCGATACAATTTTTAAGAAATGCGAAATTGTATTCAGCATACAGCGAGTTCGCATTTGCTTCACAAATATCTTCACTCAACTTTATTTTCTTCATTTCATGTGTTGCTAGTAAACATGCTTATATCTTTAGATATCAACGAATGTGCCAGTATTCCCTGCCAGAATGGAGCCACTTGCATTGATAGAGTCAACGAATATACCTGCAACTGTTTACCAGGCTACACAGGAAAAAGATGCCAAACTGGTAACGGTTCTTTTGTAAAGTAATTGCTTTGTCTGTAGTCGAAATAATTCATTATCAGCTCAATTGCAAGGACCTTGAAAGCCTTCATGTCAATTTACACAAATGGAACCATTTTTGTGACAACAGCTTTTATTTGAAATGTTCAAAGTTTGGTGGGTTCCATTCCAGTTAAAATGATTTATATCTTATTATGATGTATAATTGATATAGATGTTCTTTGAAAGCATATCAAGAAATTCTTAACATCTTTTGCCAAAAGTTGTCATTTTGGCCTAAATTCAAAAATAAATTTGACATTTTCCATTCCTTGAACTTTGAAGCGGAAGTGATGCCCTTTCTAAAGCATAATTGCAATTGTATTGCAAACAGCCTTCCTATTAACAATTTATCATATCCTTGCGGAGATCTTTGAAGTTTATTATTTCTGGCATAAACCGCGTCGATATATCTAAATTTTAGATGTTAATGAATGTGCCAGCAGCCCATGCCGAAATGGAGCCACTTGCATTGATGAAGTCAACAGATACTCTTGTAACTGTGTACCAGGCTACACAGGACAACAATGCCAGACTGGTAAGATAACATACGTTCTTTTTTGCAGAATATTTTACTTTGAAAATTACGGATGTTCCATTCTTAAAGCTCTGCTTTTCTAGCAGTAGTTGAACCACACAATTCACACCATTAACGTATAAGCTGCTACTATTAATGACACATCATATTTAGGGTCTCGGTTGCAATTGGGGAAGGCAGCAAATCCCTCTACTAAAAGAGTTTATTTCCTTTAAAATTATCTATCGGAAATCTTTGAAGTTTATCATTTCTGGCATAAACTGCGTCGATATATCTAAATTTTAGACTTTAACGAATGTGCCAGCAGCCCGTGCCGAAATGGAGCCACTTGCGTTGATGAAGTTAACAGATACTCTTGTAATTGTGTACCAGGCTACACAGGACAACAATGCCTGACTGGTAAGATAACAAAAGTTCTTTTTTGCAAAGTATTTTAATTTGAAAATTACGGATGTTCCTTTTTTTTTAGCGATAGTTTAACCACAAATTTCACACCATGAATTTTATTCAAGACATTTAAAAAAAGCACCAAAAAGAAGAAGGAATTCACAATATTAATAATGCAATTCAAAATACAGTAATAAATTTGACATATTCCATTCTTTTAATCTTGAAGCGTGAAATTGGGCACTTCCTTAAGCCAAATTGCTCTTTCATAAAGAACAGCAAATGAAGCGGAAAATAGTATGTAGAGGGTGCAAACTATTTAATTCTAGAGAACATGATTTGTTGAATATTTTCAATTTTTTATCTTACTAACTAAGCTGACATTTTTATTTGTAGATATTGACGAATGTGCGAGCAGCCCGTGCCCAAATGGAGCCACTTGCGTTGATGAAGTCAACAGATATTCTTGTAACTGTGTACCAGGCTACACAGGACAACAATGCCAGACTGGTAAGATAACAAAAGTTATTTTTGCAAAGTAGTTTACTTTGAAAATTACGGATGTTCCATTCTTAAAGCTCTGCTTTTCTAGCAGTAGTTAAACCACACAATTCACACCATTAACGTAAGAGCAGCTACTATTAATGAAACATCATATTTAGGGTCTAGGTTGCAATTGGGGAAGGCAGCAAATCCCTCTACTAAAAGAGTTTATTTCCTTTAAAATTATCTATCACACATAGTTTTTGCATTTGGAAATCTATCGTGTTTCAATGGAAACTGTCTCATTTGTTTTGCTAAATGTATACACAGGTACAGTAATATGCAAAGCCGGGTGGTGGTCCTGTAACTTTTACGATGTCAAATGGTACCGCTGGAGCAATCTAGATATGAAAAACATTTTAAATATACCCCTTGGAAGTAAATTGACAATCCATTTGATATCATTTAGAAAGCAAGTTACAGCATAGCAAAACAAATATTTGATTTTGAAGCAGGTTGTGGTGCATTTTCTAAATTAGAATGGTTCTTTTATTGCGAACAGCAAAAAAAACGGAGCATGCTATATCCGTGTCTGCAAGTTAATTTTTGCACTCTAAATAAAACTAACAAACTTGGTTTCCAACATTGCATACATAAGCCCTTTAAGTATCAGCCTTACTGTAATTATTTTACTGACACACTGCTGAAAAATCGCTTTTTTTCTAGAAATCAAAAAATTGTTGAAAAAAATTAGCGATAAATTTTCTGCATGGTTTCTGCTTGTAGCTAACATTGCAAGATAATTACCAGCCTATGATAAAATAAAAATAGTTTGATTGCCAATAGCTTCTTTCGGCATGACATCACGGTTGATTTCCAGAATATTATTCACCAAGGTTGCATGTACCAATTCGTTTGAAGCCAGGATTAATTCATTTGCCGACTGGTTAGCCTGATAACCAGCCTATTAATGGCCTGGTTAGCCTGATTCTTTAGAATAAGTGGGCTGGTTGGTTGCCTGTTCCGGATTTTCCTAAAGCGATAAAACTTCTTAACAGACAAGAACCTTTGAACACTAATGTATCAAAGAAAGAAGGTTTTTCGCAAAAGCTATTGTTAGTATAGATGAGCCCTTGATACAAGGTGAAAAAAGCTGAAAACTTGTTAGTATGAATGAGTTCATAGATGAGATAAGATATCATCTAAATAATGAAAGACTGAAACAGAGTTGAAAAACAGAAAAATGCAATAAAGCAAGTTGCTATTTTTGCCTAGTTATAATCTTGTCCCTATGAATCACCGCGAATTTAACAGTTATGAGTTTCTGTTTATAGCAAGAACAAATGAAAAAGTTCACAACAGAAAGCTCAGTTTCACTTCACAAACATTTCCACTCAACTTCAATTTTTCCAATTCATGTATTGCTAGTAAACATGCTTATATATTTAGATATAAACGAATGTGCCAGTACTCCCTGCCAAAATAGAGCCACATGCATTGATGGAGTCAACATATATTCTTGTTACTGTGTACCAGGATACACAGGATTACAATAGTTCTTTTCTGCAAAATATTTTAATTTGAAGATTACGAATGTTTCAATCTAAAAGACATTCTATTGCAAAAAACAGGTTACTTCTTTGTCTGCAAGTTAATATCTGATAACCAGATTTCTGACGATTATTTGAATAATCCTTTGATTTATTCAGAAATTGACTGAGTTGAAATGTTATGCTTTTAGAAATCAACGAATGTGCCAGTACCCCATGTCAAAATGGAGCCACGTGTGTCAATAGAATCAACAAATATTCTTGCAGCTGTTTACCAGGCTACATGGGACAAGAATGCCAGACTGGTAAAATGTCTCTTCCTGACATAGTGGAAATTGCGAGCGCATGCGCACAACTTTTGACAGTCCATAATGGCGCCACCACTGTTAGGGTGCGACCAATAGAAAAACACGTTCCTGTCTTTATATGTATTTTGCTTATCGAAATTTTGTCTATCAAAGTCTCCATTTTCAATTTTTTTTTTCGGCACAGAATCACAGCCGTAAAGACTCCATCTTAGTGCGCATGCGCTCGCAATTTCCACTATGTCTCTCTTCCTAAAATTGGACTTTTTCTGTTTTGCACAAAACAGACTTGCACCCTGTCCAACTGCAAAGTATTGCACTTTGAATATCCGGAACTTTCCGGTTTTTAGGTCTTTTGTCTGTTTGAATAATTATCAACCTACACAAATCGTACCACGAGCGTGAGAACCGCCTTCATTGAATATAATCATTTTTTCAGGTTGTAGTTGACAAAAGCAGTCCACATTATTTAAAATAAAATCAGTTGATTTCGTGTTTGATATTCAACTGAAATGTTTTTTGTTGTTGGTACTTTTGCAGCACATTGCAACGAATGTTAACAGTTCAGCTATTAACTTCAATCAAATCTTATTTACAACAGACATTTATGAATGTGCCAGCAGTCCATGCCAAAATGGAGGGACTTGCGTTGATAGAATCAACGGATATACATGCACCTGTGTCGCAGGCTACACCGGACAACATTGTCAGACTGGTAAAGTGTCTCTTCTTCAAATAGTCCTTTTCCCTTATTACTTTACTGGTCGTATATTTAAAAAACATTCTACTTTGAACATCAAGGTTTCAGACTTGAAGCTCTTTATCTGCTTAACAGAAGTCGAATCTCACAAGTTGCAAAGTAATATTTAGAACAGCTTTTATTTGTTAATATTAATCCCAAATTATGATATTGATGTGGTTGATATTAGCAGGTAATGGTAACACAATCGTTATGTTTGAAAGTCTATCTCAGAAAGCGAGTCTTACAGTGGTTTTCTAAATCTGATGATAAAATTGATAAAAATGGCTTTTGGTAATATTTACAGGAGAGTTCTAGCATCTATTTTCAAAGTGATCCATTTTGTGCAGAGCTACAGTTGACTATATTATATTTTTAGATATTAATGAATGTGCAAGCAACCCATGTCATGTTGGATCCACTTGCATTAATGGTGTCAACAGGTTTACTTGCAGATGTGATAATGGCAAAATAGGTCTACTCTGTGACACTGATAAGATTGCATTTTTCTTTGCCGTATATTCTTTTAGTTCTGTTTGATGAAAATGAGGACTGGAAGTATTTTATGCAACTTAATGATAACTGACGAATAGATATAGAGGCATAAATCAATCCATTTATCATTACAAACAATTAATCAACCACATAAATCAGTCATTTAATCATCCCAAATCAATTAATCGATCGTTGAACCAGTCTTTTAATCGATCGGCGAAACAGTCAATCACTCAAGACATTCTCAATTGACAATCTTCTTTTCTTACAAGCTTGTTGGCAAAAATCGGGAAAAAACGATCATAGGGAACTGAAAGAAAAAAGAATTCACAGATATTAAAGCGATTCAAAATTCATCGCATTCCCATTTGAGGTTTATACTATTCTTTTTCTTGACTTCAGCTCGAGATTACGTCGGCTGCTACAAAGATAGTAGAACGAGGGCACTCCCGCATGTGAGAGGGCTAGACGTTTCCGCAGGGCATCTTACAGCTAACTGCATACAGGCTTGTTTCGCATCCAATCAGGCATACGCGGGGCTGCAAGCTGGTCGTCAATGCTTTTGTGGAACATCATATGACAGATACGGGATAGATGGAGACAGCTCTTGCTCTTCACAATGCCGAGATAGCACTGGAATGTATTGTGGTGGAGGCTGGAGAAATTCCGTTTACAAAACAGGCAAGATTCTCAATACATACAAATGCTTGCTACTTGTAAAATACATTTTTTAAAATAAATTACAAAATATTTCGTAGTAATCACCAAAAGAACTTAATAGACCATTTTAAAGCTATACAGGTATGACTGAACCAGGGCACATAGTCAAAACTCAGATCTTAGAAGAAATCTCAAAAAAGTAAGTACAAGGAAATTGATCAAAATTATTTAACAGATTGTTCAACTGGCTTTTTCTCTCATACAGGCTACATTTCACGTAAAAGACGATGAATTTGGGCTTAAAAGATGCAAAGATTCTGAAGAAAAGGTTGAAAAGTACGGAACCTTGTCAAGTTGGGGGTTTGAAAACATTGTCATGACCACTGACCATTAAAACTCTTGGTCAGAGTTGTATTTAAGTTTAGCTTAATTTTGCTTACTTCAAAGTTTAGCATTGTAAATAAAAATTAGCGCGAAAAAAATCATATCTAAAAATTTATTGTTAGTTATGTTATTGATTAAAAGTTTTCGTTTAGGAAATGTCATTTGCTAATGTTTTGGCTTCCCTTGAAGTGAATATTGCCAAAGAATTTACGCAAGATTAATCTTGCCTTAAAGTTTATTGAAAAATTAAGAACAGGCAACCTGCACCTTCATTCTCTGGTTCTTTGAAACTAACAGAATGTACCCAGAAAGCATTATATGAGATGTATTTATTGATTGAAGGATTAATTGATTGTAGTGCAGTGATTTAAGTGATTGCAGTGACTGATTGGTTGATTATAATATAATAATAATTATAAATAATTTGTTTAAAGTTGGCCTACTAAATGAACGTATGATAGCTAATAAAGAAGCTAATTAAGGTCAACTATCTATAAAGAATTAGTATTAAATAAATATATGATACAATATTAAAAATATTTATGCAGCGACTGATATGGTATAGCGCTAAAATGTTTATGCAACGTTACAATATTAAAAATGTTTATGGTATAATGTTCTGAATAAAACCTAATCCAGCAATAAATATTTTACACAATCTACAGTCGCATTCTATAGGGTGTGCTCTTAATCCTTTTTTAATTGTTGCCAATGATTGGGACTCTCTTATACTGTAAGGTAGTGTTTGCCACAGTTTTTGACCTAAATATCTCACAGTTTCTATACCATAAGAAGTTGTCCTGGCTTTTGGAATGCAAAGATTATTTTTAGTTCGCAAATCATGATGTACATTTCTTGTTTCAAAAATTTATCGTAGAAAGTCTACTGTTTCATTAAAGAGTAGGTTCGTGCATGGCCATAAAAAGCACAGAAAAGCGGAAACATGGAATGCTAAATTAGTCTTTCTCTGTCAGCGCTGTCTGCAGGCACGTAAATAATAGGGGGGCGTGGGGGGCGTAACGCCCCCCCAAAGTTTGGAAAATCCAGTTACAGTTGGAAAACGTAACGGTTGACTTGGAATTTTTTTCTTAAGACCAAACTTGTGAATTTTATATTTTAAGAAGTTTTTTTATTTTAAATATAAAAATTCTAAACATTAAAATTCACAGGCTGATGCTGACCCATCCAATCGTTTTCTATTGTGAATCCCGTCTCCACTGGATCCAAATTGCACACTTGCCCCGTTTTCTTTTTCTTTCTTTCTGACGGGAGTTGAATCAAATTACGAACAGGCAAGGTGAACTTACGGATAAGAAACTTGAAACTTACAGTTTGGAATAATAATACCCGCATTGATCAGAAAATATTAGAGTGGGAATTTTTTTAGAAACTACGAGTAGTTAATTCAATAAAAGATTAAGAATCTTTCAGTACTAAAAATTCTCAACGCTTCTTATAAAAAACGAGTTTATGCTAAACTCCCCCTGTTATTTGTTAATGTCCTTGAGTCCTTATCATAAATTCCTATGACAAAACTGTTGTGGAGCAAGAACACATTGCAAAAACTGCAGTAGAAGTATTTGATCAAAGAAGAGTATTTCATCTTTCGAATCAGGCATATGCACAAGTTTGTTCTCAAATCATCATTTCAATTGTAAAGAATGAAAAGGCATTTGGCCCTCTGAAAAGTTTAAAGGTAGTTTTCTTCGATCAAGAACGAAAATAAAAGGCCCAAATTCTTGGTGCTTCTATATCATGAAAAAATGTATTTTAGATAAAATTGATCAATTGATCTGAAAGAATACTACTAATCATTAAGTATATCTAATACTGGTTTTGCTTAAATGTTGCTTTACTTCTTACAGTATGTTTAATGTTTGTTTCATGTTAATCAAAATTTAGAGATTTAGGCTTTTATGCTTTAGGCTAATTATTGAGTAAAGATTTGGTAATTATAAAGAAAATAGAACTATGGTGCTCGGGCTATTTACAAATATCAATTTGGTAGGTACAACAGATATACTGGTCGAATGAAAAATTTATCACTTGAAGTTGGAATTTTCATACTTCCACGCCCCCCCAAAATTAACAACTTGT